CCTAGAATGCCAGTGGGGAACAAGGACATCTGTATGTTCTCCTTGAGGCCCCACTGCAAAGGGCATGGTAGAGAAAACTTGGGTCACTGTCCTCACGGGAGATTCAGGATCCAACTTTAACCATAAGGCAGGAAAGCGAAAGAATTATTCAGAGATGAAGTTGAGGATCCAGAAAATTGTGCTAATGTCATGAGTTACCAGAAGCAAAGTAGCTCTGGGAAATCATCAGCGCTGAAAAGGTACTTACATCCTTGGGAGTAGATAAGATGTGCCTTGGGAGAAAGTGTACAGTGAGAGAAGATGATCCAGGATCAAGGTTTGAGGAAATCTAGCATATAGGGGTCAGGTCAAGGAGAAGGAGAAGAAATGGACAGGAATGTGGGAGGAAAACTGGGAGAGAGTAGTATCATAGGATTCAAGAGACGAGACTGTTTAAAAAGGAAGGCAAGATCAAGTATGTGGAATGCTGCTAAGAGATCAAGTAAGAGGGCCATGCGTGGTGGCTCACACCTGTAATCCCAGCACTTTGGGAGGCTGAGGCGGGTGGATCACTTGAGGTCAGGAGTTCAAGACCAGCCTGGCCAACATGGTGAAACCCTGTCTCTACTAAAAATACAAAAATTAGCCAGGTGTGATGGCGGGCGCCTGTAATCCCAGCTACTCAGGAGGCTGAGGTCAGAGAATTGCTTGAACCCGGGAGGTGGAGGTTACAGTGAGCTAAGATCGCACCACTGCACTCCAGCCTGGGCGACAGAGCGAGACTCAGTCTCAAAAAACAAACAAAAAACTCTTTTAGCTCTATGAAAAGAAGAGCCTGGATTTATTCATAACATAGATATTTTTTCTCCTCAGTTATGGTTAAGATAAGTCAACTGAATCAAAAGCAACCAAAATAGTTAGATATGTCAAAGATGACAGTTCTGGGAATAAAGGCTGAGTTTCAGTAAAAGAAGAATTTGTGGTGGGATACTTTTTGGGTAAGATTTCTCCTGTTATTAGTCAAGGGAACATTCACTGAAAAGGAAGGAAAAAAGGCCTGGTGTGATCCCTCACTTTTGGGAGGCTGAGGCAGGAAGTTCTTGAGCCCAGAAGTTCAAGACCAGTCTGGGCAACTAGTGGGGCCCTATATAAAACATTTGAAAAATAGCTGAACATGGTGATGCGAGCCCATAGTCCCAGCTACTTGGGAGGCTGAGGTAGGAGGATCACTTGAACCTTACCGGTAGGTGGAGGTTGTAGTGAGTCGAGATGGTGTCACTACACTCCAGCATGGGTGACAGAGCAAGACCCTGTCTCAAAAAATGGAGGGAGAGGAAAAAAACTTTAGAAACTACTTGAAAAAAGGAAGTTAATTAAAATGAAGGGAATTTGAGATGATGGGATGCTTGGAAAAAGACATGGTCAGAGTAATTTTTTTTTTTTTTTTAACCGAATCTTACTTTGTCACCCAGGCTGGAGTGCAGTGGCGTGATCTCAGCTCACTGCAAGCTCTGCCTCCTGGGTTCAAGCGGTTCTCCTGCCTCAGCCTCCCAAGTAGCTGGGACTATAGGCGCCCACCACCACGCCTGGCTAATTTTTTTTTTAGTAGAGACGGGGTTTCACTGTGTTAGCCAGGATGGTCTCGATCCCCTGACCTCGTGATCCACCCTCTTTAGCCTCCCAAAGTGCTGGGATTATAGGCCTGAGCCACCACGTCCGGCCTAGAATAATTTTAATAAAATATAAGAATATATTTACTCGAGAGGAGCAAATTCAATAAAACTAGGAGCTAGAAGTCAAGAAAAATAAACTATGTGGTGGCTCACGTCTGTAATCACAGCACTTTGGGAGGCTGAGGCGGGAGGATCACTTGAGACCAGAAGTTCAAGACCAGCCTGGGCAATACAGTGAGACCCCACCTCTAAAAAAATAAAAATTTAAAAAGAGGAAAAATAAAACTAATTGGTTAAATTTTTCATCTTGGTTTGTTCTGCAAGAAAGAGTTCATTTCATCATTCTAGGAAAGATGTGACCCCAGCAAGAAGTAGAGCTGCCTCTTTTGACAATCACTAAGTATCAGCTGGTGCTGCTGAGGAAGAGGTACTAAGGATAAACCTGCAGTAGATCACAAAGAGGGTACTAGTTAAATCGTAGAGATGGAAGAGAAGGAGCAGGGTCAGGAAGAGGAAAGCAACAGGCTTTGACAGATCATACCTACTGAGTCAAAGACATAGACGAGTAAATATGTACTAGTGATTTTTAAAGATAAATACTTAGAAATCAAAAGTAAGAAATATCCTTGTTAAAGTAACACAACAGCTTCTGTGCTGAGTCAGGTAGACATTGGATGGAGGGTTAAATCTGAATTTAAAGTCAGACCTAATGGCCTTGGGCAAAATGCTTTATCTCCTCTGTTGCAACTTGAGTTTGAATAAAGTTTTTTTTTTTTTTTTGAGTTTGCGTGCATTTTATCAAAAGCACTTATTGAATGCTAGCTCTGTCCTAGGCACTTTGCTGGGTCTAAGGATATCCAAGTGTGTATGCACGTGCTTTCCCTAGAGGAACAGTATTAATATTTGGGCTGTAAGAACATAGGGGCTATCGCTACACTCACAGAACTTACCATCATTGTTAATAACAAGCTCCTTTTTTATTTTTTTTTTCCAGTTACTACTTTATTTATATTACTATGCCTAAGTTACATGGAAAAAGACAGCAGTTCTGACCCATTTCAGAAAAAGTTTCCTATCAACACCAATTATGTAGTGACAAATAATTAGAAATGGTGACATCTTTGTGTCAAGACTGACAAGGAAGAATGGGCTCTAGTGCTACAGTTCATTTCTAGCAAGAAAATGGCACACTGGCCAGCACAAGCCATGCTAACACTGAGCCTTTAGCACTGGGCACAGATTTGGAGCTCTTCTCTGATGCTAGCAAATCAAGTGAAATAACTGGGTTTTTTAAAAAAAAGTTTATTGGAAGGCCAAGGTGGGCGAATCACGAGGTCAGGAGATCGAGACCATCCTGGCTAACACGGTGAAACCCCGTCTCTACTAAAAATACAAAAAATTAGCCAGGTGTGGTGGCAGGC